CCTTTTCCAAGTCACTTTGCGTAAGAAAACAGCGTCTAACAGCATCAACCCTAGTACAGAAAAACAATCCACTCATCCCTTTACCTTTTCACCCAGCACACACACACACACAAAGTCTCCATGATCCCCAAACTCAAGCAAGAATCTCGTCGTCTTATTTAGACTCTAAGCTCCATCTGCTCCCCAAAACTAGCATTCGCGGCACCATGATGATGATGCAAATGATGCTGCCTCTCCTTGACCAAGGCATCATACTTGAAACCAAAGTTCAAGCACAACGCCACAGCCAAACCCACACACACCACAAGTGGCCCAGTGACAGCGTCAAAGTCCTTCCCACTCCTCTCCCTAATGAGCTTCGCACGGTAGATATACATGGCATACCCCCACGCGAGAGTGAATGCTGCAATACACGTATACACGACCGCCAACGCGCGCGCAATATCATTGCCCTCACCTGCCGCATTGTACAGGCCAAGAGAGAGTGATGCCAAGAGGACGGAGACGTGCTGCCACTTGATAAATGTACGTTGATTCGCGAGCCAGACTTTTGCTTCTACGCGCACGGGGCCCTGGTCTTTGATCCAGACACCCGGGTCCCGGATACCAGGGGGCAGTTGAATCTTATGGGCTGAAGCTTGTTTGCGGGCATATTTGGAGGTGGAGAAGGATGGGAAGAGGGAGGCTAGACCACTTGCTTTGGAGGCTTTGCCATTTTGGTTGCCAGCAAGGAGGAGGGTGTCTTCGTCGTCTGAGTCGGCTTCCTCGTCTATGCGGGCGTTGGTGTTGTTACTGTTGTCTTGGGTATCTCCGTTGCGTTGACTGCGCTGAGAAAGGTGACTGCCAATCGTCGGAAAGGGGGGTTTAACAACGGGCATGGAGTGCGCTGCCGCAGACGCGCTCTTGGGTACGGAGCGTGTTGCAGCTGGCGAGCCTACGGGGGAAGCGATGGAAGCACGGTAGCTAGGACTAGCTTTTGCGCCAAATAGAGATCCGACTGCAAACTCGTCCTCGGCCGCCTTGCGCTTCTTCTCCTGCTCATCGTCAAACGCCTTCTCAGGCTCCTTCCTGATATCGTTGTCGACCTCGCTGAGCCAGAAGGGGAATGTATGAACATTATCTTCAAACAGCTTCGCGACACCATGGACAAACTTTGAGAAGCGGGGGGATTCCTTGACGAGATGACTGTGCATCAAGTCTTCGATCCACTCGTACTTCTTCATACCCTTGACTTTGATTTCGAGCAAGGCGTAGGGGAACTTGTGCAGCTCGCCCTTCTTGAGCGTCTTGAAGGGGAACTCCATTTGCCCGTTGTCAATGTCGCGGCGGTGCCAGTCGTCGGGCTCCCGGCAGGGTCTGTCATCGTCGAGTGCGTCTTCGCGTATGAGGGCAAGGTTGGTGTCGAGAGAGATGCGGACACGATCGTCGCCAGGGATTTGGAACGCAGTGCGGGTGTAGTTGGCGCGCAACATGGGCTGCAGCTTTTGTTCCTTGACGAAGCCCTGGATATCTCCAACAGCCTTCTTGAACTTGTCAATCTCCTCCTGGTTCTTGTTGGGGCGATAGGTCATCTTGTCGATGCTCTTCTCCATGTGGTACCTATCCTCGAGGAAAGCCTGCACGTATTTGGCCTTGATGGGGAAGCGCACCTCCTCAGCGGCGTTGCCCTCCTTGATGACCTTCTTCTCGAACATGATCTCGGGCTTCTCGCCAAGTTGGCCGTACCACCGGAGGCGTAGCGAAGAGGCATCGGGCTTGCCGTTGACCTTGTCCGAATAGAGGGAGAAGTTGGGGTTGTCGAAGTAGATGGATGTGATTGTAGGGTCGCGCTGAGTGCCTTCAGCAACCTTGGCTGATTGGGGGTTGTAGACGAGGACGGGAAGACGGCGGAGGATGACGGTCTTGACTTCAAAGAGGTTGTCCATGTGGACCCAGACTGTTTCGTGTCAGCAGGTAGTTGCAAATGAGAGGGCTCGTGTCGTACACTTGTGTGAGGTGAAGCCCTCGCCGTCGGTGCTGCTCTCGGCAAAGGAGAGAGCCTCTTTGGACTTGCCCTCCAGGCTCTGTCGGACGAAAGAGTACAGCGCCGACAGCCTGTACAGCAGCGGCGAGGCATCCTCGGTGTGGAGAGGGTGGCGAGCAATGCGCGCATCGATGAAGGGCCGCAGGCGATAGGATCTGCCGCGGAGCTTGTCGTGCTTCTTGGTAGCCTTGATGACAGCCGTGAAGTTGACCCTGCTGAAGCTCTCCAGCTCCTTGGTCTCTTTTGTGATGTTGTCCAGCTCGCGCAAAACTTCCTTCAGTATCTTCTCCCTCTCCTGCTGGCTGGGCTCCGGCTTCTTGGACGCATCGCCCGACGCGTCGCCCAGCAAGCCCTCGCCCTTGCCGTCCTTGTTCTCCTTGTCTCCCTTGCCGTCCTCCTTGTCTTCCGCCTGGATCCCTATGGCCAATGGTTCCAGCTTCTTCTCGCAGGCCGTGGTCCGGTCGCGCAGCTTCTGCGAGATGTCGGTGATGAAGTTGTGCACCTTTTCCAGTTGCACGTTGGCCAGCTCATCAACAAACGCGCTCTCGTCGTCGGCAGTCCAGGAATCGTCGTCCTCGTTGTCTTTCAACAGCTTCTTGAGCTTGTCGTAGTCGATGTATTTGTCCTTCCATGGCGCATACACGCTCTTGCGCAGTGTCGTACCGAACTTCATGGCTTAGAAAAGTGGAAGCACCAAGCAATTGCAACCTGCAGTAGCAATAGCTAAGATATAGGAACTGCCGGTGCCGGAAAGCTCTGCATGCAGGATTGCAGATTATGGAGAATGAAGCAATGAAGCTGGGTCTAGCTGGTGGGGAGCGTCGCGCAGCCAATGCCCAGGAATCTTGGGCGCACGTGTTTCGCGTGCCGCGAGCGTCATAACTGTGCAACCCTACCCCAGTCCTGCATTCTTCAAGCACTTCTTTTTCTCGACATGTTTACGGCAAACTATCACTGTATCGAGCCACACGTCCCAGGATCCTCAGCCAGCTCTCAAGCTCGTCTAAAGGGCGATAGGCGTCTTGTGATGGTGTTGCTCTCACAACAACATCTGTTGACGCGAGTCATTCCCGCTGGGAAGACCCACGCATGTCACTGCCACTGCATCGTCCCGACATTAGTTTCCGAGGCCCAAGTCTGGCCCAAACTTGTTGTCTGCGCGACTCCAGAGTTCGGTCAATTTCGCGGCCTTTCGCTCTACAGACATGGCAATGACCTTGTCATGCCCTGTGTTTGTTGTTGTTGAGGATAGCTTGGTGCTGTGCTTACACGTGATGCTAAGCCTGATTGAGCTTCCAGGTACTTCCCAACGACTGTCTCTATCATCAGCGTCGTCCGACCAACCTCCCATATCGTATGCCTCCGAGTATGGCTGACAGGTTCCGTATATCCGCAAGCAACGGCTTGATACCAACGAACATGCCCCGAAACATCCTCGGCTTCTAACGACAACGTTGGACCAAGGCTTCCTCAAACATGCCGCATACGAATACTAGCGGACGCTAATTGACAACCCTTCTCGGCTAGTCGCAAGTACTGGTTCCAAGCAAACACTTCTCGAGTCTAAATTGAAACCTGCTAGGAGTGATGAATCGGGGGCAAAACATCAAGATATAAAGCCTCTGGAAGCCCAATTAGTCATCAAGTTCTCACAGATCTCCAAAAGAGGAAAATCGGGCTTGTGGTTTAGTGGTATAATACTCCCTTAGCATGGGAGTGGTCCAGGGTTCGATTCCCTGCAAGTCCAACTTTTTGCGTTCGTCAAGGTCTGGTTGCGTTGCCGTGGTTGTGGTGGATGGCATCGTGCGTGGATTGCTCGTTTTTTTTTGTCGGATGTGGAGTCGTTCCCGGTCTAGACGCCCTGAGCGAGTTGGCATCGCCCCGTCAGCCACTCGCATCCAACCCAAAGTTGTTACAAGCACAAACAAGTCGAAGAGATGAACAAGGTGCAGCTGAGGTTGACAACGTCACAACCCCACATTCCACTTGCCTTGTAGTGCCCGCCCACGATGTGTCTCATTGGTGCATTCCACCCGGTCCGAGTTCGTGCTACGACCACCTCACTCATCAATACTGCTCAGCCACCTACGCCCTGATGGTCATGCCGTATCTGCCGCAACGCCGTTGTCCCGACGCATCATGGATTGCGACGATTGGTACGCAGCCCTCCCGTGCCTGGACACCGGTTGATGACGGATGGACGGAAAATGTCAGCTTCTGTTCCCACGTTTGCGCATTCGCGCAGTGCATCTGAAAGCTTGTGACAGCCTTTCAGGCATCCTTCAAGAACGCCATCATGTCCCCGAAACCGTTGCCGTGTTCTCTTGCTCACAAAACATCTTACTCTCTGTACTGCGAGTACGAGCACTTGCCGTAGACTTCTTTTACCAATTTGCGCAATGTTCGCCATGGTATCAAATAGCCATGCGCAAGTCGGCTTACCAAGACTGAGCACAACCAAGCGGACATGTAGAAGGGATTCGCTGTCTTCCTCCAGGACGCGTGATTCGGGTTATAACAGCGATCCTGATTCCCTCTCGCCCTTGGAAGCGGGGACGTTGGATCAGGGTACATCCTACTACAAGTCCTGGCAGAAGCTCAGATCGCTAACGATGCAGCAGGCATTCTTTTCACACCCCTTCCACCTGTGCCGAGCATTCTTGTCAACAACAAAGCTACCTTTCCTAAGAAATGCTACGTCGATAGGCCTTGGTTGGCTAGCCAGAACTGCGTCACTAGCAACCCTGCAGAACTCATCACCAGTCAGGCATTCCTCCAATCTACATCTCCAGAGACTCCAAAAATAGGATCTGTCGGGACTTTGCTTGACTTTCCACGTAAGGATATCCCTAAAGATAGGCCTTCGTCGGACGATGAAGATATAGAGCGGTGGATCAACGACAATCTCCCATCCAGCAAGCGCCCTAGGGAACGAGTAACATCTATCGTTTCCATCTCATCCACGAGCAGTTGCGACATGCATACCAACACCGACTTTAGTGACGACGAGATGGATCATAATGTGAAGGCTATACGGCGTTTTCCGACTTCCACCCAGAAGATTATTGACCTTATCTTACGCAAAGTCGAGATCAACCTCCGCAACGCGGCTTACAAGCAATGTGCAGGAAGTAAAGCCGCTCACACCCAAGGTAGAGGCACACTCTCTTCAAGCCAGAGCAGTCGTAAAACATCAGTGAGCTCAGGAACCAAACGCAAGTCCCGTTCAGAAGGCAGTCCGCCACCAGAGGACGATGACGACGATGGTTCAAACAAGCGACGCCGGGGCTCCACGGCAACTACCACCGACGATTCTGAGACTGGAGCAAAGTTTGCGTGTCCGTTCTACAAACATGAACCGGACAGGTATCGCAACAGGCGCACTTGTCCTGGACCTGGTTGGCCATCCGTCCATCGGATGAAAGAACACCTCTATCGATCACATTCCCAGCCGATATTCTGTCCAATCTGCTACGAGACCTTCACTTCAGACAAGGCGCAATCAACTCACGTACGTCTGCGACAGTGCGAGAATTCACCGCCTCGGGAAATTGAAGGAATCGACCGTGAGACTATTCGGACCCTGAAGAAGCGCACCCCTGCGTATATGCTAGAGGAGGACAAGTGGAGAGACGTATATCAGGTCCTCTTTCCAGATGTGGCTGACGCTGAGATACCCAGTCCATGTATGTCGTCTTACTGTGACGTGTAGCTGTAATCTGCTAATATGTATCAGTCTACGATTGCGATTCACCAAGCGAAACATCGCGACGCTTCCGCAGAGATCTTCTGCATCGCGTACATCAAGAACTGCTTGTCGAGGCCGGACAAGTACCTAGTCCTGTCAAGCGAGAGATTATGCAGCGCGTGGCCCAAATCGTGCGCCGTTGCGAGCAAGATCTGCTGAATCAAGCGCAACCGACATCTTTCAATCCCACGCGACGTAGTAGCGTCATTTCTATAAGTAGTGCGCCCCATGCCCCGCCTCTACCCGAGCCTACTCCGATTGTCGAGCCAGATGCTCCGTCGTTCATTCCCGAGCCTACGATCGATTGGGGCTCCTGGAACTACCCGTCATACAATCCATTCGGTCTAGGAATCGATTGGGAAGCTGCGTTCCCATCTGGGTCTCAGATGCAGTATACAGGTAGTGACGAGACGGCTGCAAGCTTTTTGGTGCCAATGCGGACGTAGGCGGATGAGTATCGTAGGTGCGGCCTCGTAATGCACATGTAGCCTTGTATAACCATCTTGAAACCAATGTAGAAGTAGTGATGAAGCAGTCAAGCTCCTTGCATGAGTGTTCTTGCCCTGAATGCCAAGTGATGGTTACTGCGAATCATCTGTTTCGCTACGCGACGTCATGGATGCAAGGATAAGTGGGAAACCTGAGTCAAGATCGGAACTTTCAGTCTCGCACAGGGTCCACGCTTCCTTTCATCGCGTCACCATGCCACCAAAGATACGGATACCGACTGTTGAATTTCGATCGCTCCTTCTACCACCGGTACGAGTACCGATACGCGCTCTCCAGACATTATACCGCCCGCAACGCGCCTCTCACGTCCCGCGCTCTGCATGTCCCACCCAACGCCTTGAGCAACGCCGTGCGCTCAACCTGTACAAAACGGCCAAGGCCAAGACAGTCCTCGGCCAACACAAGGTGCTAACGTTCACTCCGTATGAATACCCGCGGTTGGAAGACCTGTCACACAAGGTCAGATTCTGGGAGACGACCAAGAAGGGCGCAAAGGAGGGCTTGATAGCGGACAACATCTCATTACAAGAGCTGTACGACAACCATGTCAAAGATGGAGAAATGCTCTGGTGTATGGATGCGCTGAAGAAAGGGATGGCGCAAGGATATTTGGACAATGAGGACCAGGGCGAGGCGAGCATGAGTGTACCAGAAAACTTGAGGGAATTCTCCATCACCAAAGCACACACGTTCACGAAACCCAAAACTAAGAAGGGCAAGAATATTGGAGGGCTCAAAAACATCATCTTGAACGAGTCCAGTCCAACCGAATTCTACAGGCTATCATTGGATCGCGCATACCAATTCCTCGAGCATGGCTGCCCTGTAGAGTTTCGCCTCCGCTTACAAGGCAGACCGCTGCTAAAAGAGGAAAGGATCATGGCAGCAAATCCTCGCCGCTGGCAATGGATGCACTCGCATTTCCCACATCTGCGACCAGACTTTATCATGAAGGGAATGCCTAAAGGCACAGCCTATGTAATTGAACCTGTGAGTGACGGACGCTCAGTGCAATGGGTGGCTGGAAACCCAGACGCGCCTGGTCATGAAGGGCTCAACAACCGGATATTCAAAATCAAGGGTGCGGTTGCGCACTCCGTCAAGCAAGGCAAACAAGCCATGCTGCCAAAGATAATGCGCGGGAAGTTGAGAGAATCCGGGATGAATGCTTACTCGACCAACACGGGCTTGCCGAAAGAGCAGGCTCGGGCAAAATATGGAAAGGGTGGGAAGGTCACGTACGGTGGCGAAGAGACCAAGTATCTCAAGAGGGATGCGGAGACGGACGGGTTCATGACGCCAGATCCGGCGTTACGACAAAGTAGGGCTAGAGTTAGAAGAGAGTTGAACGATGAGTCGCAACGTAAGATGCACTGGGAAGGTCGCGGGCGCATAGGCCGCGATCTGAATGAGCAAAAGAAGGCTGCCAGAGAGAAGCAAAAGGCCGAATTTGAGGGGAAGTACAAGTAAATGTAGCCTAGAAGCAATATGGCGGTTTCACCAAACCGCGGCTATCTTTTGGTGTTGTTGGGGCTTGGCGGGCGATGTTGGGCAGTGACCACATCTCTGGGTCGTCGGACATGGATACGGCCGAACATGTTTATCCACACCCAGACCCTAGACTAACTTACTCTCCTTTCTCCGCGACCGTCCGTTTGCACATGCATGCACCTGTGCTAGTCAAGGAAGCGAAGCCCGAATAATGCAGCGACCCTGAATCTCCCGCCCATTCCATCTCCCTGCTATCCTAAAAACCCACGACTCACCCTCCCCCGCTGTTCGTCATCGCATCGCCGCCGCCGCCGCCGCCGCGCAACGCTTACCTCTTCTCGAATCCGCAACGTCACCGCTCTGAGCTTCAATGAACGCAGCGCGCCAGGCGTGTCGCCCCAAGCACCAGGTCCTGGTCCTCAAATGCTACCCAAAAGTCCAGAAGAGCGATGCCGAAGCAAAGGCCAATTCGAGCGAGCTCAGCTATCTGCTCTTCTATGCGAGCACTCGCCGCAGTAAGCTGCAAAAGGTGGTCGACTTCCTAGACAAGAGGGCGACCAAGGATGTGTGGAAAGTCAGGACAGGCAATGTGCAGGTTACGCTGCAGATTGTCAGGGCGCTGATTGAGAAATGCCCGCGCGATCTTCCCCTCTATGCGAGTGCCGTACTGCACATCCTGCGAACCATTCTCAACTCAAACGACGTTACCATGGTGGAGGAATCAGTGCCGACGTTCGAAGCTCTATGCGCGCATCAGGATCCCGCCGCCCTCGCAGCCGACCAGGACTATATCAAGAAGTACGAGGAGATTGTGCAGTTGTACGCTCAGTTCGCGTCCAAGGAGACTGTCAAGACGGGCAAGGCACCAGTCAGCTGGCCCGTTGCAGTCAGATACCGCAAGGCTGGACTCCAGGCCCTGAAGGCGATTGCCTCGTCTGAGTCATTAGGGTCCGAGACAGGGCGTCAATTGGGCGCCGTCATACCAGTCATACTCGTCAACATACATTCAGAGAGTGGTGCATACCTCAAGAGGTTGGAAGCACGGGAAGCCACCAAGGGCGAACACGACAAGGAGCTGGCATTACGGCGGCGGCAGAGTGTATCCACTGCACGGACCGACGATGAAGACGGCGACCCGATCGCGGCATCCGGAACGACCGAGGATGCGGATAAGCTTGCAGAAGAGGAGGTTGGAGTACTTGCGCTTCAGGCGCTGAGGAGCATATTCCAGGGTGTAAATCGAGGGCAACTTCGGCTTGCGACCTCAGCAGTGCTCAAGTTTATCGCATCACATGTCAAGAGCTCACAGGAGGCTACCCCAAGCGAAAGCAGCCATTGGGCGACTACTCTCATGGCTTTGATCTGCGCATGGGTCCCTGTACAGGACCGATACACAATCCTGGTAGGCGCAGTGGAAGCCCTGGTTCGCAGTCCAATCGTGGAAGACGACCTCGAACAACAGCTGGTTCTGGCGACTATCATCGACTATCTTCTAGCCTCGACAATCAACTTCATCGGACTCAGTGTCATGGATGTTCTGGTCGGACTCATCTCTCACTCATTGCTACTCCTTCAGCTTGGTGGGCCAGGATCGAACATTGTACCGCATCACCAGCAGACAACATCTGTTGTGGGAGAAAAAGACCCTAGCAACCAATCTTCGACGACTAATTTGGACGCTGTAGTCACGGAGGTCGTCAAGAAGCCCTCTAACGTGAGGCTACAACTTCTGGATACCGTACAGAGATGCATGGCGGATCTCGCAACACATGTGTACTATACAGATCAGATTTCTGACATGGTGGAAGCGATCCTGAGCCGCCTCAAGCCATCACGTCTCTTGAGCGTTTCCTCCACCACTGAAGCAATACAGAACCCCGAAGGCGCTATAGACGCCGTTGCGGATTCGATCAGCATGCAGGAAAAGACGCATGTAGACCGCTTCTTCTCTTTCGAAACGGCACGTATCACTGCTCTCGATGCGGTCAAAGCCATTATCAAGACAGCAAACGCACGGAGACCAGACGGCTCAACTGCATCTGTGTCGCGGAGCAAAGTCGGTGTGAGTGTCTGGGAAGGCACTCAATGGCTTCTGCGCGATCCAAGCGGCCAGGTCAGGAAAGCCTACGTCGACGCGCTGATTACGTGGCTTAATACGGAGAAGAACAAGGAAGATCTGAAGATTGTGGATAACTACAGGCGGAAGGAGAAGGAGAACGATAAGAATGCGTTGGCTAGACGTGCAGTCTCGAATGCATCGAACAGGGAAAGAGTATTGAAACGTGGTAGGGACACGTTCTTGCCCCTGCTTCATCTAGCTGTCTATGAGAACGCGCTTCACTACGTCGATTCTGAGGCCGACTATCTGCTTCTGCACTTGCTGCTCACCACTCTAGTCAATAGACTCGGAGTAAACGCAGCGAGGAGTGGACTGCCAATGATCATGCGACTACAAGAAGATATCGTAACTATCAAAGACCCAGGTGCTAAACTGCGCTTGGGCAGCTTGGTACATGGCTACCTCTGGGCGCTCAGCATAGCCCTGGACTTCGAGGTCTCCTCTGTCGGACGTGCCCTGCACAACGAAATCTCGCGTAGAAGCAGCAAGGGTCTGTGGATGAAGAGCATACGCGTCCCGCCCATGCCCATTGAGCTCATAGAAACACCTCATGCGACACCTGTCGCTGTACCAGCAGAGATTGTCGAGAACGAAGCTCTGAAACCATTTGACAACAGGGAAGCTTTGGTCGAAAAGATATCGGAAGGTTACTCGACTTCCCTATACTCGCCGCCTTCTTCGCCCCCTGGCTCACCTGGCCGCGGAGCCAATGCGTCTATCCCTACTATCCATCAACCTGTGCAGCAACCTCCAAGCCACCAAGGCCCACCTGAACTCCCATTCAAAGTCCGAGAAGACCTCCTCTCGGACTGGACGAGAGACGGCTGTCTATCATCCCACACAAAAGACTCGTCATCTGCCTCCATATCAGGATCGAAAACAGGCACGCATTACACCGCCGCGACACAGAAGAACAACTTCCTCGGCGTCAATGTACAAAATGAGAACCTGGATAGTAGCAATGGTAGCTCGCCTGCTCAATCGCCACGACGTGCGCACAGTCGTCCGCCGTCGGCAGCATACGGGCTTGTAGGTCGATTGTCGAGTCCGAATCGGAGCAGAAGTCCGGGTGGCAACACACCAAATTCTTCGTCGAGTCTGCGGTCTACAGTCAGGGTTGATGATTTGCGACGGGCATTGAGTACAAGTCATGGTGGGGCGCCGAGGACGGGATATTCTCACCGCGCACCGAGCCATCGGGCAAGAAAGAGTCTCAGTGACCACGACGCTTCCTCAACAAGTGATTCCATGGTCAGTGTACATTCTCTGTCCGACGCGTCGTTTATTACTACGAGTCCGGCGAAGGAGGAGCAGCAGCAGAGTGGTGGTGTGCAGAATCCAGAATCGCCTACTACGCCGGCTGCTACTTCTACGCCCAGGCCGACAACAGCTACTTCCATGAACTTTGGGACAGCAGCAGCAGGAGGAGGGGGAAGGGAAAGTACGTATACGATGGATAATTTGCCGCCTGTGCCGCCTATTCCTGAGGATCTGCTCAACGGGCAGAGCGAGGCTAGGGATTTTGCTGCGAGACCGAAGACGGCGCCTAATGGTGCGGTGAAGAAGAGTAGGAGTGTCAAGAGTGGAGTGAGCAGAGGTAGGAGTGGGGATCGTAGAAGGGGGACTGGCTTGTCGAGTAGTAAACCGGATTTTACGGGCTTCTTGGATAGTATTGGGGTTGAGGATGATGAAGATGATTTGGAGAGTGTTGGAAGTGGTATTTCGAAGGCGCCGTATTGAAGTGGTTGGTTTTGGTGGGTAATTGGAGATGTTGGTGTGTGTGTGTGTGTGTGTGTGATTTAGCGACGTTCGCAGGCACAACGGAGATTTGGGATGGGAGGTGTGTGTGTGTATGTGTGTTGGGTCTATTCTTCCGTCTTCCTTGTTTCTGCTGTTGCTGTGCATAGTTCCTTCTTAGCTTCGGCTTTTTGCTCCTATGTTCGAGAAAAGTCTTCTTGGTAATACAAAGATCCCATTTGTTCACTTGCGGATGTACTCTTCTCATACCAAGGTCTGCGTTGAGCAATGTTGTCAAGCGGGGGTTGAAGCGTGCCAATAGATGTCGACTATGGCTTCACAATGTCTCTACATTACGGCAAACCGAAGCATGTTCATACGGTTTTTCTTTCCGTGCAGCCATTCATACATACCACATTGCTGTACAGCGTATGCAACGTTACCCCCGCATAGATTGCTCATCCGTACTGTTGCCCTCCTTCTTACTCTACTACCCATCGCGCAACTACAAGTCTAGCTTACCGCATTGACACGTATTCATCACAGATACACTCCTCCAAATGCTACCACTCACCCTCCTTACCCTCACCCTCTCAGCCCTGCCCACCGCCCTCACCACCGCCCTCCCCTACGCCACAAGCCCCTACAGTCCCCAAAACTGCCAATCCACCATCACAGAAAACGGCGGCGTCTTCTTCTGCAACGGCTACAACTACATGGGCAACTGCGGGTGGCGCGCCTACCCAACAACGCCCGGTTCGGAATGGTGCTACAGCTTCGGAAATGTAGAGGAGCGGCCGCGGTCTATTGGGCCGGATCCCAGTGGGTGGTGTGAGTTGTTCAAGGAGGAAGGGTGTCGGGGAGAGGCGGTGGAGATTTGGAAGGGGATAGGTGATAAGAGGTTGGAGTGTCCGGGTATCAGTGATACGGGGACGCCTGATTGGTGGGTTAGTATGAAGTGTCGGTTGAAATGAAGGAGTGTGGTACATGGTGTTTTATTTTACAAATGGGGGTTCTGGTCTTGACGTACGATGTAAATGACGTTTGCCGCTCAAATATAAGTCAAGTACAAGCTTTTTTTCTTTCTTGTTTCTACTCCACTACAATATGAATCACACATGGGGACTGCTTTGTCACATCGAGTCTCCCACCATCACGTAATGTATCTCCTTACTATCTTCACTCTGAAGTGAAGACAATGAGCAAATGGATGCGCGTGATGCATGTTGGAATATGGGATAACAAACATCGCAAACAGGTGTGACTCTTGGCTGTGTTTCATCCATGCCTTTCGAAGTTGCCTCCTTGTGATTAGTGAAGTGCGTGGGTCGCACTGAGCTTTCCCTCGTCTTCACATTGAAGGCGGTTACATTCAAACGATCCGGGTAGTCGAACAAGTCACATCGAACATGGTCTCCCGATTTCGTATGCAGACTCGCTGGGCAATCCAGACGACACGGTGTGTATTTAAAGATAGCTCCACGTTCGTTCCTTCCTTCTCACTCGCTGCAGTATCTACCCAATAAGAACACGAGTAACAAGACGCAAGGATCCCAACACCACATTACCATAGGATCTGCATTATAATCCCGGCAGTAGCCACGAGTAAATCTAAGACACGACTTCACAATGCACCCTCCCACCATTCTCACCTTCTTCGCCAGTCTCGTCACAGCCAAGTCTTTTACAAGCCCTCCTTTTGCACTAAGCCCCTACATTCCAATCACCGAAAGCGACAACTGTAAAGGCAGAGTGATCGACAACAACAGCGGCGTCAAATACTGTCTCGGTGCAGGATTCCTCGGCAATTGTAAATACAAGGCCTACACCGAAGGGAAATCGTGTATTGACTTTGCCGACATTGTCCAACGGCCCCGTTCTATTGGCCCCGATCCAGGCGGCTACTGCATGTTGTTCAAAGAGAACGACTGCAAGGGAGAGCCATTGCAGATTTGGGAGAAGAGGGTGTTCCAAACGTTCATGTGTCCGGGTGTCTCGGAGATGGGTGGGAAGAATGAGTGGTGGAAGAGCATGAAATGTATGAAGAATGAAAACTGATGATGGCGGGTAGAGCAAAGACTTGCAAGAAAGAAAGGATTGGATAGAAACAGGAGGATGAGGTTATTTGTACATATCTAATGAGGAGTTCAAGTTCTGCGTAAAGATTAACAGATGTTTGGATAACCTTTTCCGGGAGAAATGTTATGAGAATGAGACTATCTTAGCGATGAATGGACTTGGCTTGAAGCTCAGCCAGTGGCGACTGGTAAAGCGGTGACTAGGCTCTGGCTTAGACGTAGTCATCAAATATTAGATTGTTAATGCACAGGATTGCCTTGTAGGGAAGTGATTACAGGAAGAAGTCCTTAGCTGTGACTCTATCGCAATCTCGCGAATAAGGATGCAAGATAGCTCAGTGGTAGGTCATCATACTATACGATGGTTCTTTAACAGCTAACAAGTTGTATACAGCTCTAAAAGACTTCAATGCCGCTTCCGCGTCCATCTCTGTGATAGTGATGTGTATAAACAGAAGAAATGTATCATAGTATCCAAAGTAATCTAGTCGATGATGTAAAGACTCTGATATCTTCTACTTCCATCACGACTGTCGCACAGGAATGGCGTATATTAGGATTCGCCGACTGCATGGGTTCTCTCTATTATTTTCATACCACTACGCCAGCCAACACAGAGGGCCAACTACTAACCAGATAATAGAACCACTTCCTTGTTGTCTGGGCTTATATCTATACATTTGATAACATGCTAACACTGCCGATCACCGTCTTCTTCGCGATCGCCGCTACTACTCCCATCGATACGCCCCCTATCAACAGCGTTGCCCTTTCCGAAGTTACTGGAAACTCGCTATTCACACGTGCAAAGGTCGAATTAGTTACTTACGGAAACCCACAGTCCCCCCTATGCAACGCCAAGGTTGGTCGGCCAGGCGGCGTGTATACTTGTCCAGGCCCAAACTTCACTCCCACCGCCACAGAACAATGCGAGTGGCACTCACCTCCCGATCCAGGCTTGTCATCATGTATCACCTTTGCTCCACCTAGGGCCCTTCCTCAGTCGATCGGCCCTGATCCAGGTGGCTATTGCATCCTTTTCTCGGGAAACGAATGTAAGGTTGGGCAGTTTGTTTTGAGTGTCGGGAACAAGTTTTATAAGTAATTCTGTCCTTCTCTAGATACTTTGAGCATGTGCTAACGTCGATAGTACGCTTGGATGTCCTGGTCTGACCCATGGTTTCAAAGATAGGGCGGTTGCGAGTTTGGAGTGTTGGCCGCTTTCGCAGCGATGGTAGTGTCAACAGCAGATTGGCAGATGAGTAGTATACTTGTAATCGTGCATTATCGAATTAACCCATTATTGCTCAACTTCTGTTGTCGCAATGTGCTTGTAGAAATGCGAGATGTTTGGAGACGTTCCGACGCTAGAAGGCATCCTGTGACTACTTGCAATTTTCTCACTCCGCGCTACCACCACTTCCCCTCGTCACTGCCTCTTTCAACACCGCACCGCCAGCTTACTACAGCACTGATACGAGTATACTATTGGTGCGTCTGCCTAGGCTATTAGGAACACCACACTTCCACGTCAACCGTCGTAAGCACTTGTTTTGTTAGCAATCGGCTGGGCTGTCATTGTTACACGCTTGCTGGCTGCTTGGTTATACAAGGCTTCAGGTCAGCCATAAACCCGCATTATCGTGTTCTGTATCTTCCAACCGACTACCGACTAGAGTGTGTCTAAGACGCCTCAGTCACTGAGTCGCTGAGTGTTTCAATTCTCTACAAGCAGCCACCATTGCCGCAATCAGACTCACCGGCACTGCGCCCACAACTATCATTGTCACTCAATCAATGTCTTTCACTGCTTGAAAAATGGCGAGGACCACTGCGCGCTATGTCAGACAGGACTGTAGTCAAGGAAGTGACTGGTGACTGGGTCAAGCTTCATAACCCCCAACACGACCGAAACGACCATGAGCATGCCCACCAGAGTGGGTAGGTCACTCAAGTTCCTGTCGGCAAGCTTCCAAGAGCAGACAACAGCGGAGATGGTCATCAAGAGCCACGAAATCCGCTAGCGCAATGAGTCGAGGACTTGCGAACGACATCCAGTTGACCGTACGCGAAGATGGTGATTCAATGAGATATACGCTTCAGGCAGCGCGATCGCACATATACCTTCAAGTTTGTTTACACATCAATGAACTAAGTATATCTCTTGCGGAAATTTGATGGCTTCACGCTTGATGGCAGTCAATGTTCTAGCTAATTGTCAACTGCCAGATCGTTGACCAACGGCAAGTCACATATGCAAATTCACCAACCTTCAATATCTACGTTCTCAAAGGACATATAAATATCTGGATTTGTCCAACACTTTCTTCCATAGAATAGCGACAACGATAACAACAACACCTCATTTGAACCGATTGTTATACTATCACTCCCACCATCTACTGCTGGCCAGTAACTTTGCTAAACAAAACCATCTCACGTGTACAGTCGAACACTCAACACTCGAATACTTGGATACAAGGGACAACGGAGAGACAGTTCGTCAAATAACCGTACCAGCCTCGAACCAACAAATCAACACTCATCTAAGGTCTCTTCTCTCGACGTCAGTACATCACAACAATATGTGTTTCAAACAGACATACATGTGCGAACCAGGACATGAGATTGAATCGAACATAACAGAGTGTGGGAAAGACCCATATTCTTGCTTCATTAACAATAATATCATAGAAGGGGAGCCTATATTATTATCAAGAGATGATTGTAACCAATGCTTGGGTTTGCCGAAAGCAACAATAGAATCGTACAGGAAGTCTGGACGTACAGTCGCCTCTCAACTAGACTGGGACCATGCATATGACGCGGAAATATTTGTGGTTTTTTACTTACGACGAGCACTTCAAGGTTGGAGATACAAGTACCTAGCATGGGAACGGGCCGGACGGGTGACTCCGCAATCGGAATATTGGACGCCAAAGGAACAGGAAAATGTGAAGCTCTCTGCTATAAAAGCAGTGGAGCTCTCTGCTATGCAAGCAACTCAGCCCTCCGCTACGGAGCTCTCCGCTATCAAAGCAACGAAGTCGTCCGCTGAGAAAGCAAAGCAGTCGAAATTTCGGCTAGTTCTAAATCCGCAAACTTCCTCGGCCAGATCTCGCACAGCAGTACGAACAAAATCAGACGCTCAGAGATCAGCCAAAAAAACTGCCGGAACTTACACATGGAACTCCAAAGAAGCTCAGAGCGCCTTTGAAGCAGCGTATGTGCCTTATGCCATAAAAATCATTGAGCGTAGGCGGGCTCAACACTCAGAAGCATCGCTGCAACGAATGAATACATCCGACCGGCTTGATATATTGAAACATGTCGCGAGAGAGCTACAGAAATTATTCAAAGATGAACTTCTGCCCCCAGAGTTCCAACGCACTTTCACCGAAAGCACTCATCTTGGTAATGCAGGTAGGTCTGATGATTCACATGCTCAGGGCTCGACCGCCAAGAAAACTTCTCAAACAACGATCAATTCCAAGGAGGGTAGAAGACTCGAAGACATACTAGACCATTATCCTCCGGGTTACAACAGCGAGGGCGGGTCTGGTTTCTCTGGCATGAGCAGCCCCGAAACAAAAAGTCCCAGTGCTTCGGAACTAGAAAGTGATAAGCGAAAAGGGAAGGGAAAAGCCAAGGCTACTCATTCAAGCCCGAATGATCGTGCACATGGATTTCCTCCTTCAGACAACGAATACCATCCAGGCGATTTTCTTACAGAAGAGGCGGAACGTACTCAGCGACGAGAGCAAGCCCGGGTTGCGGCAAGGAACCAAGAAGCAGCACGCATGCACATGGAAGAGAATCGAATTCGAATGGAAGCTGCACGACACCAGCCGTACATACAAAGCAACTTGCAGCCTCAACAACCACCTATTACGAATGACCAAGAATACTATGATATGATGAACCAAGATTTCACTACCCACCACTGGGCAGTCGATCGCTCTAAGAACGACGAGATTTATGCTGAAACTCAACCCCCAGACACTAGCGAGCAGTCTTCAACGCTCCGTTCTGGCAAAACGGTGGCTGCAGGAAAGCAACGGGCAGCAAAGACAAACAACAGTGCAATTCCTAGGGAACGAAAAAATACCAAAGAGGGTAATAGAGTGCAGTATCTTCAAAGAATGGCCGATGATATTGCTAATCAGAATACATGGGCGCACTCAGACGACAAGGAAAGCTTTGTAAGATCTTACGTGGAGGAGGCGATTAAAGAGGAGGATAATCAAAAGGGCACGACGGCTAATGGCCGGAGGATCCCCTGGAAGCAAGAAAATCATGATCGGATTTTGGATCGACTCAGGAGACGACCTGGATTAAGAATGGATCCAAACAATTTTGTATCGATCACAGTCGATTACCGCAGTCATCGGACAGGTTATGCAACTCGTCCAGTTAAAGTCGCCAACCCCAACAATCATCCGACGGTAAAAACATATCCACCAGGTTACGACAGCCCGGGTAGTTCCAATCCCCCAAGCACTCCATCCATCACCAAGAGCCCACCACTACCAACACGCGGACTATCTCCGAGCGACGACCGAGAATATTGGGCTGCAAATCCCACCCCCCATGATTGGGTATTTAACCGTTCTTACAACGATGATCTGTCCGCAGTCTCCAGCCCTAAGAGTTCTAGGGAGCAGTCTCCAGCACCCCGTTCTAGCGGCACTTCACCCTGTGTTGCAAATCAGTCCCCCACCAGTCGCGGCACGGGGAACGAACAACGTAGTCGTGCCACGTCGAGAACAAGCTCCAAGGGATCCAGTGACGGCAGTGCTTTTATGGCTGATGTTTTTGACTTCTCGGCGGCGTCAACGCATACGCCATCTCGTTCAACTGGTGCGCCTCAGCCCATCTCAGCCTCGCATGCCCAGCATGTAGGCCCCTCGACGCATACCACTGTAGGAAAGGCTCCAACTACTGCAGGAAAGGCTCCAACTACTGCAGGAAAGGCTCCGAATACTGCAGGAAAGACTCCTACTACTGCAGGAAAGACTACTACCACTGCAGGAAAGACTACTACTACTACTGCAGGAAAGACTCCTGCAAGCCAGAAGACGGTTGCTGCGTCGAAGCGTCCAACCGAAAGTTCTGCATCGAGTTCCAGCGTAAAGGAAGACAAGGGTAAGAAATCTCTCAAAAGTTCTGCATCAAGCTCCGGCCCAAAGGAAGATAAGGGTAAGAAACCTCTCAAGAAGAAGTAAACTAAAGAGGAAGACGCGCGATGCCTGACACATGAATCCGGAGTTTGTCAGCAGGTTATTGCAGACCTTTGGCGGTGCCTGTATTGGCAATGCAAAGGTATTGTCGGTTTTTGGATGATTTGTGAATGTTCTACGAGCGAACACGGCAGGCAGTTGTCTCTTCATTCTTTCTTCATAGCGTGGTTGTTCTGATATCGAGTCGATGTTTTGCGATGGTTATAGATGCGAGTTCTTTTACAGCGGAAGTGTTTACATAAGCAATGTTAATGACATAGTTGGTTATAGCGTAAGTGTGCAAAGCCGAATAGAAGGATTGAATCTACAAATGAAGAACCAAACGTGCATGTGCAGGCGTGACTGATTGCTGAAGCTGTGTATAAAAAATGGACGAGAGCTGGTGGAAGCGTGCTTCGAGATGGATGACGAGTCAAAGAGCGTGGAGGTCCGCGTCGCTATAGGTACCGAGGTGTTTCTCGATGTCATCGAAACCATGACAAACACTGGAAAGGTACCAGCCTGCATCAAGACGCACAACGTGTCGGAAGATGCTCGCCGCGATAATGGATGAGAGAACAACGCTCGATACGCGTCACTTCCACGCTAAGAGTTTTACGTCATCAGACTTGACATCATGGTGTTGATCATCACCACACCAGGCGCGTACCTCACGCGTACAGAACAATCACGACAGAGCACCACATCGGTGGTCAACAAATCCTGTTGTTGAATAAACATTTTTACCTATCAATCCGCGACATTGATAGCGGTGAGCGAGCAAGAACATGCAGTAATCTGAAGCCGCCCTGCAACCCAAACACGAGGCAGCAATCCACTACACCGAACCACCAAACACGATCTCATAGACTGGTTATTTAACAGGCACGCGCCAGCTCCACCATAGCATCGTCATATCACTTTTATGGAAATGCGCGAGAAGAGCGACGAGGGTGCACAACCATACAGTATCTGTGTTCAGCTTTTGAGCCACGACATGTCATCACGGCAAAGTCCATCTTGGTCAGGCACAGCTGCGGCATGAGTATGAGAAAGTAAGGACGCGTACAGAATGAAGACCTTTAAACAAGACTTCACACTGCACAGACAAGGGTCTTCTTCTTTTGCCGTCGTGTTTAGCTACAATTCGAGCGCGACGCGCATGGGAATATAGGCCGACACGTCTGGGTTCTCACATCGATATCACTGCTAAGACTTGGTCGGCGTACGCGTTTCAGGTTCTCCCATCTTTTTGGAACCAACCTCGAATGGTACGATTACTGTTTTGAGCCAAGAGAGACACACGCCATGATGCAAAGTTGATCTGATTTTGGATTCAGACATGTCAAAACGTCGTGGTCGTTTTAGTGAAAGAGAAGAGAAAAGGTTTTATGATGATAAACTTCGTACACGCCTGAACGAAGTTTTATACATCCAGCATGCGCACTAGAGCCAGCCACAGAGCCAGCACAGTCGATGAACCCTATGATAGCCTCTTCTTTCAAGTTTTGTTACTTGCATCCCAGCAACGCACAACCAAAGCCGCACAGAATGATATGTGCGTGATTCTCTTCCACACAAAGACATCGCAAAGTAATGTCTTGGTTTTGACGCCGCGGAACAGGAGAAAACGCCATGTGAAGGGCACTCAGGTTTTTTGGTGGCCCAGGCTAGCAAGGCATATATTCGTCGCGAACATCTTTTGGTATGTGGGCCTCGTATAGAAGGAAGGAAGATGATGAGTACAGTCGCAACCTCGAGGTATAAGAAAGTTGGAGAGGGCCGAGGGACGACATGGCTGGTTTTTCTGTGTGTTTTGGTCATCACGGGGTATACCCGCGGCCAATCTGGTTTTTTACTGTTTGTTCGATCTGGTTCAAGTCTCTCTTTCGTACCCGCTTTGGCATGCGTGTTCTGCGGATGCAGTTTCTGCTCTTCACATGTACTCTTCCATCGATGTTTTTGGAGAAAAAGAAAAGGACTGAGAGACACATTTCAGGGAAATCTGTTCCTTTTCAGAACATCTTCATGGGTCTGTAGAGTATATTTTTGGAGGAATATCTAGTAGATAGATGTATGATGGAGAAGAAGGTAGGATGTGGAAGAGGAGCTTATATATGCTTTCCTGGGCTTGAATGTCATGTGTACTGCGCTGTTACAAGGATTGTTCGTGACGTGTGAAAGTTGGAGGTGCATGAATGGTAGGAGAAAGGAAAAAGATTTGTTTGATTGGGCTATGAGTGTCAAAGTCGTCAGGAAGAGTTCTAGAGACAGTGTATGTGGAAGGCAGTACACTACATGCTTCCACAGTTTCGACTCTGGTCCCACAAGTGACTCAAGTACTTCATACTAATTTGCTAACCGGACTTTTGAGAGAGAGAGAAAAGACACAAAGTGGCAGAACCAGACAGAAATCGCTCAAAAGCATGTCCATGCCATTGTCTCGCCTACAAAGCAAACTCCATAGAGTATGTCGCACCGCCTTTTGATAAGAATCGCATTCGCAAAAGAACCAAATCTGACGTCCGTGAATACAAAACGCAGCATGTATACCCAAAGCCAAAGCCAACCTAGCATGTGCACAGTATTCAGCATGCTGCGCAGTTGTGCTGTGAGAATGAAGAGTGCTCGACGCTCCTCACTGGAAGTTCATCAGGCGGATCTTCAAGGGTCATCAGTCGCGCATTCCACGCAACCGCATGTCTCACCTAGAGTTTCAATTTCCTTCGGTAGAAAGGCCCACGGTAGGCCTCAAGCCCACCCGCGTTGTCCAGCCCCAGGAACGGTGAACCATAATCACTGTTCAGGAAACGCTTGTCATTCGGATCAATCTCCACTCCCTCTTTCGCCGCTGTCCCAAAAAGCCGACCGTGAACACAAGCGGTATGCAGGTCCTTTGGACCTAGTTTGCGAAGCATACGAGTATAGATCTCTTTAAGACGAAGCACCTCCTCGCGCTGACGGCAGTACTTAAAGCCATAATCGCGCTGTAGGCAGGCCGGAGGCTCATCATCGGTGGGGTCTTTCAAGAATTGCCTGAGTCGCCAGACAGTACTGCGTTGCTGGGGTGGTGTCTTGAGAAAGGTTTCTAGGTGCGGGTACGGGAACAGCTGGCGAAAGTGTCCATACCCGTGCTTGTCAAAGAGTGTAACGAGTAAATCCTTCTCTAGAGCAGTCTGCAGCTCGCGGAAGATTGCTTCAGAGTTATCCGCTTCGCCTAGTAAAGCCATGTAAAGGCCGGCTAGCTGCTGTTCGTCGTCTTCGTTCTTAGTTGCGACAAAGCCGAAGGCATACCATGCGCTAGACTGCATGGGGAGGAGCTTTCCCTGTAGTATGGTTCCGATTAGTTGTGTGGTCTCTTGCTTCGTGGCAGGCTGTAGGCGAGCAAGGGCGAGACCTTTGTCTTCTCGAGCAAGATAACGCTGAACGGCAGTCATCACCGGGCCGAGACTAGAGGTCGCTGGCTGAGGATGACGAAATGGAGGAGTAAGATTTACTGCTTTTGGATTTGTAATCGTGTTCTCGAAGTGACGAAGTTTAGGTTTTTCTTGTTGTTGAGGTGGTGAGAACGGATTTGTTGGATTTGGTTGCTTCGAGTTCTCTATCGGGATCGCAAAGGAGACAGTCTTGCCTGGAGAGCTGGGTTTGAAGTGGAACACGACCTTTTCGAATGCTTGTGAGGCTCTCGCCGACCTCACCATGGTACTGTGTACTCGTTCAGGAAACCCCAACGTGCAGATAAGCTCGTACAACCTATCTGCAAATAGTGTCTTCTCAAGAAGGGACCTGAGTCTTTCCTGCAGATGTGGAAGAACCCTTGTAATTTCTGATGCGGTTTGTATGAGCACATCCAATTCCCTCGTTGAACCATCGTAGCCGTTGACTTGTTGCGAAAGTAAGATGATCCGATCACCGAGCTCACGATCTAACATAGTATCCTTATATTCGGGATCGTCGACGCCAAACATCCTCGTGACGAGGTCAATGTATGTTGTCTGGTAATCTTGAAGGGTATCCTTGAGCCTTTGGATGATGGTTTCGATCTTGCTGCGGTTGAGGATGAGGATAGCATTCCAAAGTTCGTCGCACGCGATCTGGAGTGCCTGCTGCGGACCTGGACGTGTTAGTGATGCATTTAAGAATTTGGATTCAACATACCATCAGCATTTTTCGCAATCGATGCCAATGCAGCTTCCATGGCTCGCACATCGTCCAGGCCAATGCGTAGTCGATTTGCCGATCGGCTACGCGTATGATATATATCCACCCTGTTATCGTTGTTTGCCTGTTGTATATCCGTTTCCGCACCCAACATCTTCGAAAGTCGCCTCGCAAAACGGTCTTTGAGGCTAAGTTCGGTCTTTAGCCCTCTCATCGGAATGACGCCGGTCGAATCGTCGATGAGGTCTTCCTTTCCGAGAATACCATATACTTTCTCTTCCACGCGTTGATGCTGAGTGGATGCCATAGTGGCGTCTGTAACTGCTTTCGTGGAACGCTGGAAGTGTCGACCAAGAATGGATATAGATATATGGTTGAGGGTCGCTCATATATATTTCCGTATACTCTGTTGCAGTATTTTCCTGCTCTGTAATACTCTCGAAGTGTGGTGGAAGAGAGACGGGGATCAAGCTGAGAAGAGATCATTGATATAGCAGGAGCGACCGGAACCGGCTGCCTTTACCTTTACCTTGCGCTGCTGCGATACCGCTACGTGTGACGTAAGAGAGGACCTAGGCAACAACACGATGCCGATAGGACAGCAGGAAGTAAGAGGTGAGAGAGAGACCAACGCAAAGCTAGGCCAATCCCAACTGATCTGGTCCGTTTGAGCCCGGCAGGTACCGGTCATGGATGTAAACGATGTGCACCAAGACAAGAACAACAACAACAACAACCAGAGATAGTGTTTAGAAAAACACAGGGAATGAAGCCACAAAATCTGATTCTAGACGTGCTTCTTGACGTCCAACACAAGGAGATAAAAGAAGACGCTATATGCAATGCAAAATCTACAACCACCCACACCACCTCTCTTTCTTCCTTGACCCAACTTCCAACCACTCCCAACTATTCTTCCCAACCAATCATCCACCAAAACCAAAAACCTCAGCCGTACTCAACATACTCATCCTAGTCCCCCACAACGCGATAACAATAGACACAACATCCACCGTCAGCAGCACCGCAGCCCCAACCATGAACCTCGGGCAGAAGATCCTATAAAGCATCAAATGCCTTCTCAAATGGCCCGCCCACATGGTCGTCGCAAGCTGCGTCGTCGCATAAAACAAAATGTGAGTCGCCACAGCTTTTGTCACGACGGACAAAACGCCCTTCTTCTGCGGCTTGACCTTCCAAAGCACGCACGCTGGGACAGCAATGGCGCACAGGATTTGGGCACCGAATGTATTCAGCAGAACAATGATGGGTGTCCAAGGGTAACGGATCTTGGCCAAGGGGATGAAGGCGGATTCCCACTGGATGCTAGACAAGGTAGCCTGGTGTCCTGTTTTGAAAAAGTGGAAGGAACCCAACAGACCCAAAACGACAGGGCCGATGGCCGATTGACGGAGGTTGTTAGTATCGATGATTTCGAAAAGCGAAAATAGCTGCCAGACCAGTATTCCGATTGCGCCAGCGCCCATTGGCTTTTGGAGCACACTGATGGCGAGATACCAGATGGTGATCAACAGTGCGTATCGACTCCCGTGTACATTTGCGAAACCAAGAATGGTGACGGCTTCTTTGGGTTGACCGTTTTCATCGACGCCGCTGCCATCTTTATCAATGATGACGTTCAGGAGAGGTTTCGACCAATTGTAGATGGAGTAGCCAAACGCGAGAGCAATTGCTAGCACAATCTGTGCAATGAAGCGTTTCGTGATACTGATGATGTTTGACCAAGCGGGCGCCCACTCGCCGTCGTCAGCAGCATCGAGAGTCCAGTATGCGGCAGACAGCATCAAGCCGAAACGCAATGCGAGGCCGATCCAGAGAGTGGCGTTGTGCTGATAGGATTTCGTGCCGTCGTAGTAGCTCTTGATGAATGTGGGGATGAGGATGGCAGCTGTGGCGGGGATGGCAAGTTGCCAGGGTGCGGAAGTTGTTGATAGGGCAGAGCCGTAGTATGTGGATTTGCAGTAGGGCATCTGTTCTTCTCGGCATAGGCGAGAGAAGCTGGCGATTCTAAGCAACACGGTGAAGAGGATGGAGTGGTAAGCACCAAGGGTTCGATCTGCGATTCTCCTCTGGCGGAAAGAAGAGATGAGTGCAAGGACTCCAAATGTAGTTAGGAAATGTAGGAGGATCTCATCTTCCCAGATAGTAAATGAGTTTGCTGCAAAGCCCCCGGAGAGGGCGAGAGTGAAGATGGCGCTCGTCCAGCCCCAGATATTGTTTGGCATTGGGGGCATCATACGGTAGCTCAGGGCGTAGAAAGTTGAGGCGCAGCCGATGATCCCGGTAAGGGCAGAGGAGAGGACAAGAATATGCGATCTAGAGTCTTCAGGCATGAAGATGGTAATAGGAAGACCGACGATACCTCCAAGGACCAAGCCAATGGCGCCTCGGGTGAAGAAGACGGGGGTGACGTCTGCACGGTCCCCGTGAAGGATCCTGGCGTAAAGAGCGACTACAATCAGACTTGCGGCCAAGATCACGACACCACTGACCATCCTGGGAATGTCAAACCGAGCCCAAAGATCACGACAAAGACGGAGCGTGTCGCGCTGATAAGCACCGAAAGCCTCATATGCCTGGCGCATCTCGGCGCTATTGGTCTTGGACTTTCCTAGCGGGTTCCACGCGTCATTTGCGTTCTTCCACAGCGAAAGGGAAGAAGCCCTGGCGCTGTCTGCGATACCACGAACCTTGGCATATTCATGCTGGTAGTTGTGTATCTGCGCGGCTGTTAGACGGTTGACGGCCGCCAAGTTCTTGTAATCATCGCCGTTCTTGCCAATGAATGCTTCTTCGATGGGCTTTCCGAGGTTGTTGAAGGGTATCGGCAAGCCGAGGAGAAGCGACAAAGTAGGGACAAGATCGATCTGCCCAACTGGTCGGGTCTTTGCGTTAGAAGGAGGTGTGGTATAAGCAGAATCGCTGCGCCCAAACACACCCTTCTTCGAGTACATCCATAGCGCCGCTTGTATCTCGTCGTCCGACTCTCCTCCATGGTCGCCCTTTCCATCCATGCCGTGATCTCCCATAACAATTAGCAGTGTGTCGTCGTCAATCTCCTCAATCATGCGGCGAAAAACGTCGTCCATCTGGTTGAGCTTCGCAGTCATAGCAGGGTGATCGGGCCCATAGCGGTGTCCCGCATGGTCCACGCCCAGGTAGTGGCCGAAGATCACATCCCACTTGGTGGCATTCTCAGCCTTCAGAAGTGGGAAGATGTGTTCCGTGACGCCATTGTCAACAGTGTGTAGGTCCCAAACATTGAACGAATCGTATGCATGCGTGAGGTTTGGCTCAAAGTAGTTGGGGAAGAGAGCGTGCCATGTGTCATCCCCAAGATGAACCATCCGCTTGCTTGCGTTCTTCATTTGTCCGAGCAGATTGTCTTCCTCAATCTCCTGGCCAGCGAAGTTGCTGCCCACGTCGATGAAGGTGGGCAATGTGCCCGTTGTGAGCCCTTTCAGCCTCTGCATCGTGGCCGTCGGCGGGTCGGCGATAAAGGGTAGGAGGAAGGCATTCTGGGGCTGGTTCTTTGCCGTCTCGTAAAGTACCGGGAATGCATTGTGGAAATGGCGCGGAGCGACTGGGGGCGCTTGAGACGGGTTTTGGGCGGCGGCGGCGAGGTCGATGGGCTCGAACTGCTCTGGAAAGGGGACTGTGAAGTCGTATCGTAGCGCATCAACGATGATGACGACGGCTTTGTTGAACGTCTTGGGGTGCCAGCACCCCTTTTCAGCATCGCCCGCTGTGTACGCGTTGGCAGAGTCGATTGGGGGCAGGGCGCATTCTGACTTGTGGTCGAGGACCAATCGCGTAAGGAGGAAGCCGCTGGTGAAAAGGTAGATACCGAGGACGTGAAGAATTCTGGCCAAGTCAGCTTTGCGCGTCTGTACGCGGAGCCGGAAGACGGGCTCTGATGAGAGAGCCTACAGTATAAAGGTAAAGAAGGCGATGATGATGCCATGCTGCGCTTTGAAGTGCACCTGTCCGACCTTCTTCGCTTTGTCGGGGTCGTGAACCTGTCTCCGGGGAGCTCGCACTGTCTCCCGTGGCTCTGGCGTATCGGCCGCAAACTTGACAGCTTTGCGTGCGCTGCTCTGGCCGGTGATGTCGGACAGCGGCGTAAAGACCTCGTTCTCCATGGCGGGCGGAGAAGGCGGACCAATTGGCTCTCAGTAGATGCCAATCAGATGTCTATTGGTATTCGGATGGCTTAGGGGGCCTCAAGGAGCGACAGAATCCATGGGGACAAAGTTGATGCGTGGTTTAAGCAAAAGTGAGGATGTGTCGCAAGCATCCACTGTGGATCTCCCATTTCGCCGAGCCGCCGATGTCATGCATCCGCCATCGAGGTACGCGCCGTAATTACGAGCGGTGCTTACGATCTGCTATCGATGGATACGAAGCTTGACATCATGTTCCAGACGCGACTTGGAAACTGCCCAAAGGTACATCGCGCACAGCATTCACTCGGTCTTGGTAAATTGAGCACACATTTCAGTCTTGACAAAGGATTGTATTGGCTCTCGTGCTGCTCTGCACAGTCGCTAGAGAGTGAGTTGGATATCATACATTAATGAATAAGAGTTATGTAAGAGGTATGAAAACCTCGTAGAAGAGATGGCCAGTCGTCAGAGTGGGTATACAGCAAAATGGCCAGTCAACTCCGAGAATATACATAAGTGGTGTGGCGCCCTGCCGGCTATTCCACAGCTTCGGCAGGGAACGGAGAAGCTGACAGTCAGCGCGGTATAGCCGTCATCAAGGTGTAAAGTCGGTCGTAGCCAAATGGCTGGGGGGTGCCCGAGGGGTGCTCGACCGGAAGTATCGGCGGTCTAGCCGGGTTTTGACGTGTGGTGTCGTGAGGTTTATGAGTAGTATTTGTCGTCCTTCTCCTTCAGTCCGCCCATGCGATCCAGGTCGAGCGAGTCGAAGCGGTCCGATGCGTCTTGTTGGTATGGCGGGAGGTCCTCTTGCACAGGCTCGAGTCCAACGCTGTGGTCTCCGACGCGGACAACCACAACACGACCCGATTGTTGCTTGCCAGACTCGTCAATCTCGTCAGGGAAAGTGATGCGGATCTCGGGTACCGGGCTGGTAGGGCTGTCCATGAGGTTCTGCTTTTCCGAGTAGGTGATGACGGACTCGCGGCCCTTGTAGGGCATCGCAGTGATGGTCAGGCGGTTGATGTTTGATTGGCGCTTCTCGTAGACTGGGAGTTCTGGGTCTGTCTCGGCTTGTTTCCTGGCTCTGCGGATACTGCGAAGGAACATGAGGCCTCCTACGCATAGCATGCCAACGAGAACCAGCATCATAAGGGTAACGAGGAGTGCGAGGTGGGTAGTGCTGAGGCTGCCATCCTCATTGCGCTTGCTAAGGCTGATGTTCATCATTATGATATTGGTGATATTGTGTGTCGTTAGGGCGTATCGAGGGCGTGCAGATAACTCTGGGGCGTGTAGTAGTGATTAAGGAGTGTAATTGCTGTTTGCATGTTAGTTCCCATTGTGTAGCGAGCACGTTGCTTCTGTGTGGTGTTGTGGTTGTTGGTTCGCGGATGCTTGGCGCAGTGTGACGGACGGGGACGGGAAGTAGCGGATACGCACCTGTAGAGCACCGTCGTTTCGCAAGCGGATGGACAAGTATTGGTAACGAGAGACACAAGTTCGGAAAGAGCGTAAGGCGAGATACCGCTGAAAGAGTGAAGCGATAAGTCGACAGAGAAGAGAGAGTTGGAGGGAGACGAGACCGTCGAGGAGGTGGGCAAGGAGGTCGAGGTATGAAGGGAAACCTACGTATTTTGATGGATGCGCAGGGAAGCCGCCTTGCAGTCACCAATGCAGGAACGATACAACCAGAGCGAATCAGCGATCGACACTAGACCGCTCAACTTTGTGCCTATCTAGTTTAGGAGAAGAAGCCGCCTGCGCTAAGCCGAGTCGGTGGAGCGCAATAAGATGACGGTAGGACGCTCATCCTCTCGATCTTATTTTTGGCTTTGTTGGCGCCAGTGATCTGCTCAACACTGCCGCACGAGACCACAACAGACAAAGCCGTTCGCGCGCGATGGTTCCCAAGACCGAGACAAAGAAAATATCGAAGGTGCTGCAAACAGACCAAAACAAACAACAGTCAAGAGTACTTAGTGCAGTGTGGAGAGCCTCGCAAAATGCAAGGGGCGGTAATAACGAATGACGGGGGGTGGGATTTAGCCAAAAGGTCGAGACTCGACGGTGTGGATCGTGAGTGGATCGTGAGCCGGCACGTACTCCTGATGCTTCGCTTGAGCGACAGCCCCAGAATATGTACTGTCTACGTCAAGATGCCAATCTGGAAGTCGTGTTAAGCTCAACCCGTGCGAGACACGCATTGTTTTGGACTGATTGTGACAACGGCGTGGAGAGAGCTGACAGCGAGGGCTGAGACGAACGTCTTGCCAGACTGTGGAGCGATAAAGGATGATGCCGGTCGATAGCACATACCACAGCAACGCGCGTAATGAACGATGGATTTGTGGACCGCTGTGCGCAGGGAGCGCCATGTGGTGATGGAACTCGAGCCTCCTCAGGCACGTCTCTCTTGCGTTCGACAAAGCCTTTAAGCAGCCCTTCATCTTCGCAGAGTTCCACAAGTTTGGCATAAGGCTTCCACTCGACCTGCAATGTCGCAGTCGTCAAGACGCGTTACAACGCCCAAGTAACTACGGCAAATTCGTCATGGTCTCACGGATGCACTCTGGCCGGTACTTGGCTACTCCACCGTCCCCGCCGTTAAACATCTCGTCGCCAGGCCCTGTGTTTGAGCCTTCGGGACGTTTGATGCCTCTCGCTTGCCTGACGCCAAGTGACTCCTGAATCCTGGGGCCGTCGCTGGGCTGTCGCTGGCACTGTCGCAAATGGCCTTCTAGAAGCGCTAGGGGGTCGGTATTTGAAGTAAAATGCTGTCACCAGCTCACTATGTCACTCGGAGTTGCTTCATCGCGATGTTTGCGGCGGTTCGTCGGTGACTTGTCTTGCGTAACACCTCAACCATTCAGAGCGGTGTAGATGTGAAGCAGTTATGACAACCATGGCCAGAGCTAGCGGGTGAATAACTTTCCCAACATGCCTCACGTATTCGGCAGTCGCAGCCAGTTTGCTCTGCTTGTTAGAACGCCAGCGCAGCACAGTTACCACACACAGTATGCGCACAGAGTGGAGAGACGGGTGGCTCACTGGACGCCTCGCATCCGACTTGCAGCCTCGCAGCGCAAACCCACAGCTAGGAGGCGTTATAATTGCAGGGAGTATTCTGAGCGAGAGCAATCCATGGATGATGCAGGTCACGAGCCTGAAAGGCTTTTCTGCGCCCATTGAGTGATGATTGAACCCACAGCGTGTGCGACCATGGTTTCCGTGAATCTTCTGCTGTGCCTCCAAGCAGTCACGTTGAACACTTTTGAAGATGGATACAAGCTCCGGGCTGCATCGAGCTCGATAGTGCTGCAGCTCGCTCCAAGTACGCAGAGAGGTCAATTGGCCGTCATAGACAAGTTAGACACCATTGCCTAAAAGTCTTGTGCCGAGGGCAAACATGCAAAGGTGAAGGCGTAGCAGAGAGAGAGCTTGGACATGCCGGCAGGGTGGTGGTGAAACATGGCGGCCCTGTAGATAATGCCTCTGGCCTCCTATCCATGCCCGTCGTGTCTCAGGCTGCCATAACGACAGCTCGCATCACAGAGGATCGTCCGGATTCCGTTGCCGCATCGTCCCTGACTCGTGCTTGGCACACGCGAGCGCATTGCAGCCGGTGGTCACAGTGAGAGAAGAAAACGGCGACCACGTTTGTTCTTAGGGAGATCATATCTCGTCCCGTAATCGTCGATTTCATCTTTCCCACAAGCCTCGCCTGCACCAAGCACCCGAAGACATCTAGGCGACGCTTTCGGTACAACCTTGAGCCTTAGCGTGCCTTTCCCCAGCGGACGCCAAACTTAGTTGCCGATCCTATCTTCGCCAGGGCCCAGCAGTCGCATCTCCATCGCCAAAAAGACATCTTTCCAACCCACACAACTGGCGCAACCCTCGCCCTCTGAAGCTGCGCCCGGTCTCCTCGACGCCCGCTACCAAACTTGTGCTCCTCCCGCCTATCCACACGCACACCACAGCCCCCGAACCAGCGCAGATATATTTCCCCCCCTCGAGTCTATTCCTGCCCTGCTGCTCCACCGTCCCGCGCCCTTGCATCATCCCCGCCGCTGCATTTGGTCGTCGAACCCTTAATGCGACCCCCGCCTGGTGCGCGACATAATTGCTTCGAGATTAGCATGTACTGTGGCTAGAGACATTACCACATCTCGCTCCTACACCCAAACGCGACCACGGGCCTGCACTTCCCAACCCACACTCCTCACGCGGACCTCCGGTAGTACCTCTTTGTTCCAAGCCGCGTTCGTGCGCACATTCTTCGTACATTATTTCCATTGTCCCCAACTATATCAGCTGTAATACATCGTCAGTATTCTGCCTCCCCCCGCACCTGCCCTGCCTGCGCTGACGCCTGAGCTTAGTCCCACCAAAGCGCACGCATAAGCCACCCCGCGCCGCAGCACCCACCGGTGTGCTATATTCTCCGCATACTAATAACCTCACGCCCGACCTGTGTAAATGAACACCTCTCCTGCCGGCTCAAGTCGTGGCATGGCAGTCATGGCGGGCAATGTGAGTAGCGGCTTTTCTAGCCACAGAGCATGGCGTGCTAACACATATGCTCCAGACTCGAGCGCGCGACTACTCCAGTGGAGCCTCGCTCAACAACAACGGCACCGACACTGAACTCTCACGCGCATCTCCATGGGGGAAGAACATCTGGAATGCCCCAATCGGCACGTTTCCGCTTGGCTCCAAAGGCCGAGACAACTCGCGCCCTCGAGGTATGTCGCCATCCACGACATAGCATGTCCCTGTAATACTGACACGCACACAGAGAACGGCGCCGCCATGGGCACTCCTGCCGATCATGTTGAGGGCAAGACTGGCTCTGGCTCCCTACTCACCAACTCCGAGACGGAATGGAGGTCTACCGCCCGGCCAGCTTGGGGAGAGACCCCATCTGGCAGCATACCTCATGCAAGAAGCTCCGGAGTGTCGCCGGCACGGAAGCGGTCTATCGCCCAAGCACAACCTGTCCAGCAGTATAGCGACAACTCCCCATCCGCCTTCTCGTCCTATACTACAAGAAACTCACTCGCGGGCCAAGGCTCGCAAGCAAAGCCGGTCAAGCCATTCCTTGACCCTACCATATCCAACTTCACATCGCGCCAGATCGAATCACTCAACACCGGCTTCACCAACTTTGGATTCGGCCAAGCAGACGTCAATTCTCAGCGCCCCGATACTGGTGTCACCTCGTGGCCAGACACAGGCTCCGTCCACTCTCCGAACGACGACCGCCGCAGCGTAGCAAACTCGGATTACCTTGCGTCTTCGAGCGGAGCCCCCTCACAGAACGGAAGCTTGCCTCCATCCCGACATGGTGCCGAGCCAGCACCGTTCAGCCAGGCTCCGGATGCATTCTCCAGATTTACTCAGCCTTCCCGCCAAACATCGTCCTTCTCTATGGCAAGCGGTCGTGCCTTTAACGAGCGAAGCGGTTCAATACAAAGCGAGTCTTTCCACACTCTCGGAAGGCTGAACAGCGAACAAGACCAAGATGCGCGCATGGCACCAAACAGGTCCTTCAGTATTAACGCTTTCACCCCAGCACACACACCCGGACAAGACACCAACGATGCGCCTACAGGCTCATACACCCCAGATGGCTACTCCAGTGCCCAACTCAACGGCCAATATTCTCAGCTGCGATCCTACCAGCTCGACAACAGTCGAAGCGCGCCGAACGGCACTGGGGCTCGTCAAAGTCCTTTTTACTCCTCCATGAACACACCGCCTGTGTACGATCGTCTCAATCCGTACACCAGTGAGCAGATGCTCACCCACCCCAACAGTGTTACGCAGCTGCAGAACAAACTGGCCGGATTCCAGATGTCACAACAACGTAATTTCATCTCTCCGAGCCAGCTTCATCAGCAGCAGTATCAAAACATCTTTCCCGCAGCTCAAGTCCAGAACCCGTACCAATACCAGCAGTATGGTCTACCCAACGGCTTTTCTCTATCCGCGATACCGCAACACATGAACATGACTCCAGCAGCACCAATCTTGTCTTACGGAGGGCCACCTAAAGGTCCTCGCGAGCAGCAGGTCGGCGATGGTCTCGGTGCCATGAGTCTTGAGTTGGCCAACTTCAAGAGAGAGCAGAAGCAGAGCAAGCGCTGGGAGCTTACCGACATCAAAGGTCACGTGGTCGAGTTTGCCGGAGACCAGCATGGCTCCCGTTTCATTCAGCAGAAGCTTGAATCAGCCAACAGCGAAGTCAAGGACAGCGTCTTCAGAGAGCTCGAAGAGGATGCGCTACAGCTGATGCAAGATGTTTTCGGCAACTACGTTATCCAGAAGTTCTTTGAGCACGGAGACCAGGTCCAGAAGAAGATCCTTGTCGGGAAAATGAAGGGTCATGTACTTGAGCTTGCGAATCAGATGTACGCGTGCCGAGTTGTACAAAAGGTAAGGTTCTCTTCCATGCGCCCCGAGTAAACACACTGACCGCAGTAGGCACTTGAGCATGCGCTCACTGAGCAACAAGCCGAGATGGTCAAGGAGCTCGAAAAGGATGTTCTCAAAACCGTCAAGGACCAGAACGGCAACCACGTCATTCAAAAGGTTATCGACCGGGTCCCGATGCAGTACATCCAGAGGATCGTCGAGGCTTTCAGGGGCAACGTCGGCGTGCTATCGGTCAACTCCTACGGATGCCGTGTTATCCAGCGACTACTTGAGAAGGTTCCGGAGCCACAACGAAGGTTCATCATGACCGAACTCCACGCTGAAGGACCCAAACTCATCACCGACCAATACGGCAACTACGTCACTCAGCATGTCATCGAGCACGGCTTGCCTGAGGATAGGGCTAAGATTGTCGCTCTGATCAAGGCACAGTTCCTCGCTTTCTCAAAACACAAGTTCGCCAGCAACGTTGTTGAGCAGTGCCTCAAGTGCAGCGACGACGCGCAACGCCGTGAACTCGTATCAGTCATCCTTGCGAAGAACGAGCGAGGCGAGTCAAACGTCATGAACCTTCTCAGGGATGGGTACGGTAACTACGTCATCCAGAAGATGCTGGACACCCTCAACCGAGATGACTACGAGGACTTTGTCCAAGCACTCAAGCCTGAGCTTGAGAAGGCCAAAAAGGTCATTCCTGGCAAGCAATGCGTCTCAGTAAGTAGTCTCGTGAAACTAAAGACATACTTGGAGAAACCCAACTAACGAAATCTTAGGTTGAGAAGAAGATGTTCCGTTACAATCGCATTGACTCGCCGACTATGCTTACACCAGCTCTCAGCAGTTCCGCTCAATCGCCACAGAGTAGCTCCCACCCCAGCACGAACAACTCCACCATTGACGAACCCGTACATAGCGCGCCTGTCAACGGCAAGCACAGCGCTGTCAACGGTATGGGTGGTGTCAGCATCGCGGATACTGCTTGATTGCGTAGCACGTCCATCAGATTCTTTCCATGCATCGCACATAGGTCTCCTAATATCCGCCGCACGTTCTGTTCTATTCAGCCAACGCACTTTACTGTTTGCATGGCTCGGGCGGCACATCTGCATTCTATTGTTCATATACCATTACTTATTACTTCGCTTTCATCGTTACATATCACTACGATTCGCTTGTACGGCTATACGGATGACCCGCCTTTTCATACATCTTGTCAAACAAAAACAGGCTGGAGTCTTAATTGGAAGGTTGTGGGTTTTTTTGCTATCATTGGGTATTTGCCTAGGCATGGTATCGTTATTCATCATTGTATTACCTGGATTACCTCATGAATGGCATGGCGTACATGGGGAAATCACTCGTTGGGATACCATGGGCAACGGAAACAGGAAGAGCGTCACGTAAAAGATGCGTAGATGGTCGGTGTATTGAATATCTATGAATACACGTTCGATATCTGACTTTTTTGCTATTTGTTTGTTTGTCTGTTTGTTCGAATGTGGCTTGAGGTGTATGTACTAGGTGTGGATTTACGACTAGCAGCATAGGCGTCGGGTGTGGCTGTCGCCCGGCTGCTGCACCCGACCCGGCCCACGCCATCTTACCACTCCCGCCTAGCATACCCGTAGGCTGATGCAGGGTGTACTGACTAGTCGATCTAGCTCCAAGGTTTTATCAAGAGGGCAGCTCTTTCTGTTTGCTTCTTTCATTCTCTTTTTTCTTTGGTAGATCATGGAACTATCTGTTTTCCTTTCTTCTTTTTGTTTCACCATAAATGGATATTCGAGATATTTCGATGGTGTGTTTCAAAAATTCGCATGCTA